ACATGCAGGACACGAAGAGGGCGAAGATCTCAATGTCCCTGCAGGGGGCAATAGTGGAACCACAGGCTCGTGAGAATCATCATCATCCATCCTTACCAGCAGCTAAACTCCCTACATATACCAGTGACTGTGTCTGACAGTCTATCGTCTCACCACACAGCTGAGAATTACAGGCAACTAAGTAGAGCCTGGTGGGGGGGGTGGGGGGGGGGGGGGGGCGGTGCCTGTTTGCCAGCGGAGAGTGTGGGAGAAAGAAAGAAAGAAAGGAAACGAAAGAAAGGGAAAGGGTTTCCTGTCGCCATGCTGTCAGAGGCTTCCGCTCTGAATCCAAGTGATGCAGAGCCTCCCCCGCACCAAAGGGATAGTCAGAGACGAAGCCCACAGCGGGTTAACTCCAAGAACGGCCCAAAATGAGACAGGGAAGCTTGTTAGCACACAGCTCCAGCGCTCCATCTAAAACAGGGCCTTCCTCGTGTTGCTGTGCTTTCGTAGGACATTACGCAGGATGTCTCAGGCAATGGGTATGTGCAATGGCAGCTACGCGGCGTCACCTGTCCCATGGCTCCACCCCCAAACAGGCAGAGGGCACGGTCACAAATCAGCAGCCCAAAGCAAACCAACCAATAAAACACAATTCAATGTGCATCCAAATAATGGTCAGTAGGGGGCAGTATAGTGCATAAACTAGGATTGTTCTATTTTAGGTGGTTGGGGAGAAGTGGAGTAGCACTGGATGTCCACATCTTACTCGAGGTAGTTGGCCAGCTGCAGGTTCTTGTAAAGGAGGTAACAGAAGTGGGAGACGGAGAAGGCATGCATCCAGTTGTGGTAGGGAGGGTCCCGGTAGCCCTTCTTCACCATCAGGCAGAACCTGCAGGTGCAGCAATGCCTCATTACCAGATAGCTAGAAATCTCACAGCCATTAGCAGCTACATGGGTACTGAAATCACTACCCAGTGTACCACGCCACATCCCAAATGCACATCTATGACATCACTAACTACATCAAGTATGTAATTATTAGTATTTCAATGCAGTGTGACAGTGCAGTGCAGTGCTGCATCATCGCTGATACCACTAGCAATCACACTGCTATTATCACTGGCCACTGATTCAGCGGTTTATGTGACCTTTAGGTGACCTTCACTTACACTAAGGGCATAAACTGCTTTTTCAATCCATTCCGATTTATAAACATGCTTGGATCTGCAGCACAAAGACGGGCAGCTGAAGCTGGCGTGCTGAGTGTGGCAGCAGAGATCATTCAGAGAAATCGATGATTGGAAGCATCTTGAGCTCACCTGGCCAGAGTGTGCAGGTCAATCTTGTAGGTGTTGAGGAAACCCATGTCTTCAAACATGCTTAGGATGCTCTGAAGGAGAGGCGTAGGAAGGGGATCAGATACCAAACACAGAACACCTGCCAGAAAGTTCTGGATAGAAAGAGCCTGCTGAACAGAGCAAATTACAGCTACAGTGGCATGGCTGGGGTCAAAGGCTGGCCTGGGGAGGCACAAAGAAAGAGGGACTGACTGTAGGTGTGCTGTCATCCGGCAGTGATCGCGGGGTGTAGGTGAACTCGGCGAAACTGGGGTCTATCTCATCCACAGGTTCGATCCCATTGGAAAGTAGTTTGATCACTTCTTCATCTGACACCTGGTGGGGGGTGGGGTGACGAGTAGGTCACCATCATGTTGCAGTGTCAGCCTCAGAGGGAGGACTGTGAGGGTACCATCCTACCTTCATGTGGTACATCATCATCTCGTTGGACAGGCGACTCCTGTACTGAGCCTCGTGTACCTTCTTGTACAGGAGAGACTACAGAATAGAAGGCAAACATCAATGATATGATCTCAAGAAGGTAATAGAAGGAAGAACAGCTTTACGCAAGACCTGTTATTATCGTAGAAACTGTAAAAATACTTTAATAGCGAAAGACTAACTGAGCAATGGGACACATGATCTGATGTTTAGTGGTGCCGTATCTGTGTCTGCTAACTTATTGCCCTTAAAGGGCTCAGTGAAACTACGGAGCAGATGCTAGTTTCTAACAGAGCCTGAGAGTAAATTTCACTTATATTTGTTTTATTTACAACGCAGAGGAAACCCGGGGCAACTGGGTTTATTTGATGTTTCTCTGTGCTTACATGAGCAATACTGATCCCACAGTATATGGAGAATGCAGTGGCCAGGTCCTCATCGAACCTGCTGAACCATGGTCCATTGGTCTTATTGACAAGCTCAGCCACTCCGATGACCTCTAAGAAGGAGAGACAGGGAGGGTGTGACAGCGGGGTGACAGATCAGTGAGGGGGCTGTGCTTCCCTGACCCTGATTTTTGGGGTCCAGGTGAATTATATACTCAGTCCTGTACTTTTGTATTGTCAACACATCAACATCCTTCACACTGAAGTGGATGATATCCACCTTAACCTCACCCTCCGTCTTCCAAACAACCACTGCTGGCATGAGCTAAGCAACATACGTGAGCAAGTGACCTGGAAACGCAAGAACATGGGAGGCGGGGCCAGAGCAAGACCCAGTCACTTTATTTACACCCAGAATCTGCTTTTCTACAGCATGATGTAAGAAGCACTTCAGGCCAGACTGCAAACACATCCACACAAGCGCTGGGAAATTGGGAAATACCAATTTTATTGGGGTATGGGGGGGGGGCTCCCTATCTGAGCAAGGACATGGAATGTAAACATGGGGAAAAGAGGAGCCGTTTGTGTGAGGAAGAGAAGAGAAAAGAGGACAGTAGGATTCAGGACTGGTGCCAGGAATCTGGATGGGTTTATTGGGGAGAGGTGAGTGGAGAAAGGAGACCACACCCCCCATGTCCAATCCCATGAGCGACATAAAAGCCTTATGAATAATTAATGAAGGCCTGCAGGCAAAAGTTGTAGAGGACTGCAGGTACGTTTGTGAAGCGTGACCCTGTTTATTCAGGACTCCATGAGCATTTCAAATGTGTTAATCCTCTCACTGGATTAGAGGTACGTACAGAACGCAGTACATCAGGAACAGATTAGAAGCAGCAAATCTAATTAATATGGAAACATCCATCAACACAGAAAATACCACGTAAAACTATCTTAGTCAGCCAGCAGTACAAAGATTTTAAAGCAGAAGTGCGGAGAGCTGATGCCTTGGTGCCGGGAGCTGATCCAGGCTCAGTGGCCTTTCCAGCATCTCCAGGCCGCTGGAGACCTGCTGATACAGAGAGATGACGGCCTGCAAACGATTTCCTAATGATGGATCAGCTGCTGTTTTTTGCGTCTTTCACGTCCGCTATTGGAGCGAGAGTTTGTTTATATCTGGCCCAATAATCTATGAAGGAGAGTCTGTGGCCGGCCCCGGGAATGATGGATTCTGGCTCCTCTGCTGCCCCCCCCCCCCATCCCCATCCCTTTGAACTCATTTCATCCCAACGAGCAGAGAGCAGCAAGGACAATCTGTCACGGGCTGACGACGCTCTCTGGCATGGACGGGCGCTTATCGAACGTGTGCACTTGTTGTGGAGAGGGGATTAATTCCGTAACCAGGAAAGACTGCTCATGAAGCTGGGGGTGGGGGGGGGGCTCATCCATCATTGCACCAGCAAGCCCGGCTCCCCCCCTGAATGAGGGACTGGATGCCAGGCATAAATGGATTTGGGGGGTGGCAAGGGGTGCCCCTTCATTGCCCCCACCAGTTGTATTTGCAATTTCTGTGGTAGTTAACTGCAGGGAATTGATATATTAAATGTGTATTTGATGATTCCAGCGCTGCCTGGATTATAAACAATGTGGAGTTATAGAGTTTATGTAGCTTAAACATTCCCTTATTTTCTAGATGCCTGATATGCATATTTAGATTTATGTGCCCCCCCTAAATGACCTCTGGTCCCACCCTGGCCACCCCGCTGATGCCAGACCAGGGGGGCCGGGGGTTCAAATCCTGGATTAAGGTTCTTAATGTGAATGAAATATGTGATTTTCCCTGAATTCCCATTTAAATTTCCATATGAATTCTGTACATTTTCCATACCGTTCTATAGGACTAATTAGGTGCTCTGGTGAAGCACATGCGTGCCGCTCGATAAGCGCTGTAATGTGATTTATTATCGATCTTCCTGTGATTACATCCCCCCCCCCCCCCCCCCCCCCCCCACCCCCCCCCCCCCCCCCCGCTCCCATGGCCGGCTCCTCACCATTATTCTCGTCCTTGATGGGAAAGCAGAGGATGTTGCGCGTGCGGAACCCGGTGCTGTCGTCCACGCCGCGGTAGAACAGCGGGTGTGAATAGGCGTCCTTGATGTTCAGGATCTTCCCTGTAGTGGCCACATGACCAGCGATGCCCTGGTCAGCGGGGATACGGAACTCTTTCTGTGGGACCAGGAAGACCGGGAACATACAAAAAAACATCCTCCAATGAGGGCCTGGTCACAACTGACCATCTATCCAATATTTATCAATGTGACAAAGTCTGAAACGGGCATCATATTAATTAAGGCTTTTCACGCGGCAGGGGGCCAGCAGGTCTGCCGTACCTCGTCGTCATTCACCACCCCGCCATCGAAGACCTTGGCCACCAGCTCGTGACTCACTCTGTCCAGCAGGAACACGGAGCAGCTGGGCGTGTGAGAGACAGGCAGGGGGCTCACGTCTGCATCTTTTCTCCCCCACCCGCCATTTTAATATCTC